CTTCATTTTTCTTAGTGGTGGAGCCATTCCAAAAATTGTTCTGAAGCCTTCTCATGTATTTACATGGCCACCCATGCAGGATCATAATTTTAAACACAATCATTTACTTGTTTGAAGGCCATTTGTGCTTGCAATTAAATGTTTTAGCCTCATCCAACATGTAGTGCATGTGACATTTTATCAGGGGAATTGGGAAATGGCAGTTTTGTGCAAATTTAAAATGGAAATAATGTACAAGGTTTGGTGGGGTACCTTCACATTGTTTTTTGGGCAGCAAATCCCAGAACAAATCCAGGGATTGTGATTTTTTTTGATGGCTCCACCTGTTGGGTGCACATTGCATTGCCTTGCCCTGCCAGGAGGCAAGCCCACAAAGGACGACAACTACCTGAGGGCAAAGGCAAAGCCACAGCCACAGCCCAAAGCATGGCAGGGGGCCAGCAGCAGCACAGATGACACTGGGTGGCACATAGCCCAGAGGAGGAAAAAGAAGGAGAAGAAGAAGGACAAGAATAAGTGAGCCTGAGCTGCTGAAAAAATGGGCCTTGCAAAAGGGCCCCCAAAGAAGGGTCTTGCAAAAGGGCCCCAAGGGCTCACAGAAGGACAGGTCCTGCAAATGGGCTTCTAAATTGGATCTGCCAGATTTGGTTCCTGCAAAAGGGATCCTTTAAAAAAATGTACAGGTGCCTTTCAAAAAGGGCTGGGCTGCCACAAGGGCAGAGCACATAGCCCACTGGAAAAAAAGTGCATGCAGGAGTTCAGAAACCACCAAGTATCATATGAGATCATATGAGATCATATGAGTTCATATGAGGTGGGCATGCCTCATATGATGGTAAAAAAGCATCATATGAGGCAAAAATATCCTCATATGAGGAAGCCTTGCCTCATATGAGATCATATGAGATCATATGAGGTTTTGTTAGTTTTTTGTGTTTTCAAAGTTTCCAGGTGCTTTCAAAAAAGTTGGAGGCCAATGTGGTGGGTCTTTTTTTTTTGGGGGTGAGCCCCCCCCCGCCAAAAAAAAAACACAGGAAGGCCCCAAGGTTGAACACTTGAAGCCAGCATGTGCTGCCCCTGGGGGCTCAGTGATCCCAGGGTGTGTGTGTGTGAGTGTGAGCAGCTTTTGGCTTACTAGCTACTTTTCTTTTTGGAAAAAGTGGGACCTGCAAAAGGTTCCAGGTGGGTCTCTGCAAAAGAGGCTCTGGAGAATAGGTCCTGGGGCAGGGCTTGTGCACAATGGCACCTAAAGCCATGAAGGCCAAAGCCATGAAAGCCCCTGGTGCCATGAAGGTCCTGGCACTTCACTTGAAAAGGCCAGCTGCCAGTGCCTTGGGAGACCTTCCAGCAAAGGAAGGGATGAGCCTGGAGGACAAGATGGAGCTCTTCAGGAAGAAGGGGAACAAGGATGTCTCATCCTTTCTGGATTCCCTGACAAAGCAGCAAAGGGAAGCTTTGTGGCAGAGGTTTGCCAATGCAAGGGCTTCACTGAAAGATGGTGACAGTGATGCCATGTGGGCAGAAGTGGCCAAGGGCAAGGGGTCAGATGGCCCAAAAAAGAAACTGCTGGGCACCTTCTTGAAGCTGGGGGGTGACCTGAAGAGCAAGAAGGACCTCTGGCACAAGGAGCTGCTGACCTACAGCAAAAGCAGTGGTTTCTTGGCTGCAATTATTTTGCTTCAGCAAGTTGTGTGTGAAGGCCTTGTGGTAGAGCTGCTTGTGCCAGCATCTCTGAGGTGAAAGGCACACTGAGGAGTGGGTGCCCTTCCAAACCATCCTCAAGAGGTTTGGGCTGCAGGAATGCCTCAGGAGGGCAACTTGCTGGCACTTATTTTCATGAAAGCTGTTCCTTGCCCACTTACTGCCAGTCATTGCTACTTGACACAAGGTGAAGAGAGGAAGCATTGCCTGCAGAAGGGACCCAGCTGACAGACATGAGTGGCAGTTCAGCTTGAGAAAGTCTGTGACATGGACTGAGGACAAGGCCAGGCATAGCTTCCAAGGTGGGAGCAATGCAAAGGCTGAAGCAGCACACTGGCTGGAGCTGAAAGCAAAGGGGTTGCTGGAGGATGGAGCTGAGGAAAGGACCTTGGCTGACAAGGCCCTCCAAGATGTCTTGCCCAGTAACAGCAAGCCCCTGGCAACAAGCAGCCCCTGGCCTTGAAAGACAAGAGTGAGGATGAGAAGGAAGATGAAGATAGCCCTGACAAAAAAAAGACAAGGATGGCCAAGTGGCAGAGGCTGAAGTCCTGTCTGAGGTGGGCAAGGCCCTGCCAAAGAAGGAAGCTGCTCTCAGGGTCACCAGGATGGTCAAGCTACTGAAGGCAGTCAAAAAGGATGTTGGTGCTGCAAAGGGAAAGCCTTTGGATGAATGCCTGGCAAAGCTTGAGAAGCTGCAAAAGATGGGGGACAAGGTGAGCCTGGAGGATGCGAAGGGGAAGCCCTTTGATGCTGCCATCCAGATCAAGAAGGTGAAGAAAATGTGAGGGGAGAAGTTTTGCAGGTCCTGCAAAAGGGCTTTCTTGAACATGGTTCTGCAATTTTTTATTTGCAGTGTTTGTCAATTTGGTCCTGCAAAAGAGCTTTCTCAATTTGGTCCTGCAGAAGGGCTATGTACTCATAGGGTGATGGACCTTTCAGCATGGCCTTGGTGCAAAAGGAAGGCAGCTGCTTCCTGTCCAAACACACCCTCCTTGACACCTTGATAAGCAACACTGACTTGGAAAGCCTTGTTGCAAAAAGGCACGTGTCTGCAGTTGCTTGGCTCTTCAGGCAGCCATATAAGGATTATAAGTCCTGTGAAAGGGCTTAGACTGGTCCTGCAAAAGGGCTTCAACAGCCATGGCTAAATGGAAGAGGAAAAAGTACCAGGAACCTGCAGGACCCCATAGAGAAGAAGAAGAGTTCTCACCCCTTGGCTTATCTCTGTTGGAGCATTTCGCCTCAGGGATGAGTGCCCCTTGGCAGCATCTAACTTGTGCAGGATGCTTGCAGGTAATTCTTGTTTAGACCATATGGTGAAGCTCAGGGGCCATCTGTCCAAGCTCTTGCATTGGCAGCAACCAAGAGTGGTGCTAACTCTGCTGATTTGCAGCAATTGGCTTCACTGGGGAACTATGGGAGGTCTTCTGAGCACATAGCCTCCCAAATGATTTCCAAGTATTGCAAGTCAGACAGCATCAAGCTTCCTGAGCCCTACTTTGTTGACACCCCTGTTCGTGTGAGAACTGCAGATGACTGGGTGCTTGCTGTCAAGCCAGTGGCATTGTACTTGCCACATGAGTGGTTTGCATGGCTACAGCTAGAGGAGCAAGCTGCTGGCTTTGAGCAACTGGAGGAATTCTGGGAGAATCATCCCATGGGTAACCCCAAATTGGATGGCAATCCAATCATGGATGCTTCTTGGCAGCAGACTTGTTCACCCAGCTGCTTCTGACAAGCATTTGCCTTGGCCCACTTTCTTGTGCCTGCCTGCTTCTTCCCTAGGAAGGATGTGGCAAGTACCTGCCCCTCATTCTTCATGGGGATGGTGGGGCATTCCAGCGAGCAGATAGCATTCTGGTGCTGAGCATGAGATCACTGCTATCTTCATCCAGTGTAGCCCACAGCCAGATGCTCCTCCTAGCCCTTCCAAAGTCTGCAATCCACAAATCTGAGATTCTTGCTGAAGATACCATGCATTGCCTCTGGTCAGTGCTGACCTGGTCAATGCAACATATGTACTTCGGCAAATTTCCAGAGAAAGCTGCAGATGGCAAAGACTGGCAGCACAAGTCAGCAAGGGGCCAAAAGGCAGGAACCTTGTTGAATTCTGCAGGGCTTTGTGGAATGATCTTTGCCATCACAGCAGATGGCGAGTTCTTTCAAAATGAATACAAGCTGCCAGGAAGTTCCCATGCAGAGTGCTGTTGGAGCTGTGGGGCAAACAGGTCCAGTCACCCACACAATGACTATAGAGCTGGAGCCAAATGGAGGGAGACCATCAAGAACCATAAGGACAGCAACCCCACAGATCACCTGATCATGACAGTGCCAGGCATCAATGGCTACACCTTGGCCTATGACTCTCTGCACATCTTGGAGCTGGGTGTTTCAGCCCACATTGTGGCCAACTTCATGTTCGACATGGTGGTGAAGGCAGAATTGCCAGGCAGCTCTTTTGAAGCCAGGCTGAAGGAACTTTTCAGAAAACTGTCTGGCTTATACACTGAGCTGGCCACAGACTCCAGCAACCAAGTGAGAAGACTTCACTTGTCCACTTTCTGCCAGCCCAACAAGAAGTGGGACAGTTTTCCTGAGCTCTCAGGTGTGAAAGCAAAACAGTGAGACACCTCATCCCTCCACTCCTGGAACTCAGCCAGGATTTGATCGATGAGAGCTCTTACAAAAAGCACAGGCTTGAGTGCATCAAGAACCTCAACCAAATGTATGAAGCTATGGAGTGCCAGGGGCTGCATCCTGATGAGTCAGCATATGAGCAGTACAAGAGGAGCACAGAGAAATGTTTGCTCCATTACAGCAAGCTTGCCAAGATTGCAATCTCTCAGAACATTCTTCAATGGAACACTGTGCACAAGCACCACTTGGCTTGCCATATGCCAGAACAATTTAGGCACTTGAACTGCAGGTTTGTGTCAACATACTCTGGTGAAACAATGGTGGGCTTCATGGCCTCTCTTGGGCACGCCTGCCTCAATGGCACTCCTCCACATTTGGTGCCTGCAAAGGTTGCCTGGAGATATAGATTGGGACTGCACCTGAGGGTGACACATGGTGACTTTGACCTGGTGGATTCTGAAGAGGAACTGTGAGTCCTGCAAAAGGGCTGCATCTGTCCTGCAAAAGGGCTGTCTATGGTCCTGCAAAAGGGCTATCACCCTGACTTTGCCTCATTGTGCCTTGAAAAAGGAAGCAGCTGTCTCAGGAAGTGGCACCACATGCTGGCCACATGTTTCTGAAAAAGCTGTTCATTTTCTTCAGATTCATACATTCTAAACCAACAGGATCCTGTTGAAAAAAACAATAATGGCTCTGTTGCAACAAGGCTTTTAAAAAATGCACCTTTCTATTTCAACAGCTTTTTGTGTTTCTGTTGAAACAAGACTTCACTGTTGAAATATGCGTTTTCTGCTGAATCTTTTCAATAAGGCGCACTCTGGGTACGCTGTTTTCACGACCATTCGCATTGCCGTCTACAATTTCACGTTTTTCACGGTTTTCCAGGGCCATTCAACGTTTTTCCACGGCCAAATGCACACTTTTTCACGGCCAAATCTTGTTTTCACGGCCATATCTTGATTCCAAGGCCAAACCGTTTTTTTCGAAGCCATTTGGCCAAACGGCCTTTGGCCTTCTTTTTCGCGATCAAACGGCCCCCCAGGTCGTCGTCGTCGTCCTCGTCCTCGTCCTCGTCCTCGTCCTCGTCCTCGTCGTCGTCGTCGTCGTCGTAGTAGTAGTAGTAGTAGTAGCAGGAGTGGTAGTAGTAGTAGTAGTAGTATAGTAGTCGTAGTCGTAGTCGTACGAAGACTGTACGCTGGAAGTTATATGAGTTTACAGAATCCCTGAGACTCCATGCTGACCATATTTGATAACATTAAAATGTTAAGCTGAGAAGGCATCATTTAAATGTTGGCCTGAGAAGATGACATTTGACATACTAGATTTGTCGAACATGGATGGGATAGCCTGGCTGTATATGCAGCCATTTTTCCATCAATTTTCCTTGACATGAGACGAGCCAATGCAGCCCGCCAGGATCTTAGACGTTGTGTGTACAAGTTTGAACCATCTTAGTCATTAAACCACTCAGATTTCATGTGTTTTCTCAAATTGATATCTAAATAAGGATATACTTTTGTAGTATGACCAAGGCCGATGGCAGCCTTCAGCTGTGCAAACTTCGGGTGCCCGCTTCCTGCCTGCTTTCAAGAATTTCATATGCATATGTATATACCTACAAGCTCGAAGTCTTCAATCTATATCTTAAATATAGTGCATAGCCCTGTGATCACATCAGTTCAGCGCATGTTTGGCACGCTATGAAGCCATTTTCATATTCACTTGGGTGGGGTGCCAAGCTGGCAGCGCCTTTTTGTGGGGATGGTGCGAACCTCAATTTTGTGAAAACACAATGTGAAGAAAACAATGGTTTGTTCATGGTCGAGGAATTTAAACTTTGTTTTGCAACCCTCAAAGGCCTCCGTGGAATCCCAGTTCGAGCTTCTTCAGGAGATTGATGTTGTGGTGAAATGCGTTTGCCAATTAATTGTTGCAGTTGAACTTTGTTCGTTTTCTTCAGGGGAAGGGTCTGGACAGCAGTTGTGTTCTTTCCCCATCGGGTAATGTGGAAGGACGTGGTGACTTCCTACGTGTTGCGCGGAAACTTTCTTTCTGAACTTCGAGATGATCCCCAGAAAAGGTTTTTCTATGACCTTGACACCTGTGATGCTCAGAGCCTTCAAGCTATTGAGGCCAATTATAAGTTTCTGCTAAATGTCTGTGCTACTCTGGCGGCAGAGAGCTGTGTGCCAGCACATGGAGTGTGGAAGGCGGGGTGTTATTTATTTGCACACCAGCTCATGCAAGTTTGATGAACTTAATCTTGATAATTTGGGATTAAACCTCCCTTGGAGGCGGTATGGGTCAAATTGGCGGAAACCTATGGCATCTTTCCATCGAGGACACGGACGAAGGTGATCCGTGCCAGCTGGCTAAATTTATTTCAGCAAGCTGCCTAGCTAGTTAGAATGACATGTGGTTTTGTACCACTCACCTTCTGGCCCAGGATTGGGCGTCTACTCAGTCAGGGTTGGCCCGGGCCATGACAGTGCACAGCTTCTCTGTAACTATGAGGTCTCGTGGATCAAGGTGCTCTAGTGGGTGGTCGTGTTTTGAAGCAACAACAAGACATTCTTGAAGTGAAGCTCCAATCATATTTTTTCTTTTTCTGAAGGAATCAAAAAATGATGTTGATCAAGAAGTGCATTCACCGAGCTATTGCTGAAGGCTGGGTTGGCTCTGGTTTTGTATTCATTGAACAAAATCACTCAACCTCTTCCAGCACTAGCTTATTTTCCACGGCGTTATGATCAGAGTACTGTCTTAGTTGGGTCAATTAAATGATGCTTTTAAATCAAAAAACTATATATATTGTCATCAAATATGGTCAGCATGGAGTATCAGGGATATGGTTATATCTGTTTACTTCTAATTACATCGTGATTTCAAGAAACATGTTGACTCAAGTACACACGCACTGTCTGATTGTTTTTTTTTCCAACCGCGGGTAAAGAAGTTCAACTCGCGCCGCCCGCCAGCTGCTTCGCCTGGCGGCAACATTGACGTGGAAGGGACCCTGCGCCGAAATTTGGAGCGCTCGTTTGCTCAGGACTCAAAATATCAATATAATATCAGTGTGGTAGCATTCACTTCATACTTGAAACCTCATTCCTTTTAGTGTATAATATATTCGTGGGGACACCCGCTTCAGGATGTACCTGCGTTGGCTTCATCATCCAGTGCATCCGATGTAGATACCAAGGCCAGAGCAATTTGATTCTAGTATGGATAAATTCAAAATCAAAAATTGGTGCTCAATTCTTTTCTGAATGCAAAGCCATTGGTCCAGAGAATTTAAAAATATGTTTTCGGTTTAAATGTGACATTTCCGCCCAGGATGCTGTGCCAACCAAGATCACAGAGGACTGCTTATAGCTATGTGAAATTGATGTTTCAACATTTGGTCACCTCTTCCTGGAAAAACGAAACATAATCATTACCGATCCAGGAGGATGTGCTTTCGAAGCGCTTGGAGGACTGTTGTGAAATTGATGGTTCAACATGCATGGTTGGGTACCTTTCCCTAAAAACAACATGTTCTTTGCGGATCCAGTATGATGCCCCTGCCAAGAAACATGTGGATGATTATTGTGAAATTAAGGGTTCAATATATTGTGTTGGGATGTATTTCACTTAAATTAAACAATTTTCCTTGCAAGACCAGGATGATAAGCTCTCCAAGAAGCCTGCTGTGGAGGACTGCTATGAAATTAATGGTTCAACATATCCGGTCACCTTTCCCTGAACAAGTATATTGGGAGTCTCTCAGAATTAGGAATCCTTTTTAGCTCAAAGAATAATCTTGTGGGGCCAAAAAAACTCATGATCATGTTGAAATATATCCTACAAACCGTATTACATGAAAATCGAACGTTGATGTAATTATGGAGAAAGCTGGTGGCAAGTTAGGCGAGCTAGTTGTGAAAATGTGACAGCCTAGAATTAAGTAGCTGAGTGTTCTTTGATTTGGGCAAGGACAACTCCAAGCCATCGACCGCCGAGCCAAGTGCAGAGGTGTGACAGCTAGTGTGTCCAGCTTGTATAGATTTACCGCATCAGTACATGCAACCAATATTCCTGAGACATTCTTCATTCCAATTCAGTGGGTTACTTCACAACTTGTCTGATACACATGGATGTTTAGTCCCGAGGCTGTGCCAGTCACAGCTCGTCAGGCTGAGAAGGCCTGCTTTTTCTCACAAAAACCATTTTGGGATTGGTCAAAATTTAGCACTCACGATCAAAAATTTAGTATATTAGTCTTGAATGTTTTTTTGGGGACTGAATTTTGACCCATATACCTATCCCCAATGCTCCATGTTTGGAATACTCACCAACATTTACCCCCAAAATGACCCAAATATATATGATTCCAAATGTGGATAGATATATTCCATACATGGAGCATATGGGTATTAATACACGAGTTCATTTGTCTTCTTGCTTTTGGGGTCAAGTATTGTCACCCTGTGGAGGAACGAAAGCCTCTTCTACCTTGCGGGGTCACTATCAATGGCAGCCTGGCAGATCAGGTGGTGGCCTTGTCTCAGAGCCTTGGATCTGGGGATGATGCCACAGACCTTGCCGCCGCACAAGCGAAGGCGTAAACACGTCATTCTGTAATCAGTCAATCAGTTGATGATGATCCTTTTGCATATGTCACGTAATTTCATTTAGATGACCAGGTATATAATTTTGTCATATCTGTTCACTAGTCTTGTTTGGTCAGGTGTTGAAAGCGGCATCACGCAAAAGGGCACCCGATGATGTTGATGACGATGCTGAAGAGGGTGGCAATAGTAAACCGAAACGAAAAAGGGCACCCAAAGCAAAAGTGACTGCAGTGAAAGCTAAGTCAGCACCAAAGACTCCAGCTGAACCTGCTAATGCCTCCCCTCCTGCCAATGCAGCTGCGGAGCCTTCCGCAGATGCGGAGCCGAGTGCCAATGGGTCTGCTGGGGATCCTCAGCCAAAGAAGAAGCCCGGGAAACCCAAAGAGGATGTTGACTTGGCTTCGGTTTTTGCTGAGAAGGACTGAATGGGGATCATTCTGATAACTTCGGATCTGTAGTTTAAACTGCATTGTATATTTTGGATTAGCCTTTCAATTCAACATGAAGTGATCAACACCATGTAAAAATTACATTCATCCTGTTCAAGCTCATACATACAAATCAATGTGCCACTGCATAGCTGGGTTGATGATTTGATGAGTATTTGAGATTGAAATGCTATAATCATTTGAGAGATGCATGTAGGAGCCCGGTCTTCGAACTGCGGGAATTGCTGTCCCGAAAATGGACCCTTTGCGTATGTCTTTCACACTGCAGCCCGAGAAAGATGGAACTAGTGCAATGCAGATTTTGCGGTGTCCCCAGTTTCTTTCATGCATATGTCGATGAATTTATCAAACAAAAATCAATTTTACATTTCAAGATTTCCCTGTCATGTTCCAAGTCCATGGGTTTTTGACTCCGTACGCTCTAGGTGGTACAAGAACCAGATCTACATCAACGAGACCAAACAGGTCTACTTGAGCTACAAGGTGAATGGCAAAGGTGGAACAACCATGTCGGTTGGTCATCGGGGTTGGACGGTGCTGTATCAACATGCCCGTGTCCTTGCTGGCTGGGATGAATTGCCTGAAGAGACCGAGTGAAATCATGGCTCTAGAACTTTGACTCATAGATGAACAATTGTCTTACTAGTTTTTGGGTTGGCGAAGCATCAGGGTGAAGTCTTAGATAGTCCTGTTTCTGAAACTCATAATATATATATATATATATTATTGGAGAATTTGATCAAGTGTTCATTAGGCAGTGCTGTCTTGTTTGCCAAGTCGGGACATCTGACCTGATTCACTGATGCGTGGGGATGTAGCCAAACCGGTGACTTCGATGACCGCATGTTGATATCAACTGCGTGGTCTACAATCGTGAGAGCCTCTGAGACATAGAAAAAAACGAGAACCCTATACTTTGACATATGTGCTCCATATATGGAATATTTACCCATATTTACCTTCAAAATGACCCAAATGATCCCAAATGTAGGTAAATATTCCATACATGAAGCATATATGGTATGGAAACACTTTGTCAAACTGATGTACATGTGGAAGCTATGTTCACTGAAAAGAAAACTGCATATGGCCCAACAGCGAGCTCGAGTTGTGAGTTGCTGCTTGGTGTTCCTAATAAGCTATGCCGTCCACTCGTGGAATCCGTTTGTCTGCACGAGAATGCGCTCAACTTCTCAGACTGGGTCTCCCTGTGCTACTGACCTTTGGTGGAAAAGTGTTGATGGTTTATCTTTTGAGGTTAGACTTATCTGTTGGTTGTTACAGTGAAGCCTGTGTTAACATGAGAATAACATTATCTAAAAACCGAAGACCCAACATAACCAAAATCTCGCCCCTAAGGATTCACTTATGTGATTTTGTCGCAGAGTGTGGAGTTGGAGAAGGACCACAGGCACAGCGTTCTGGGATTCTGCTCTATCATAATAATATATCGATATATATATAATATATATATATCATATTATATATTTTCAATCCAAATCTTTTTTGTGGAAAGTGATTTCCTGTTGCCGGAAGGTTGGTTGCCAATGGGAGCTTGAATGTTGGAATCCCCAATCTTCCATTTTTTCGAGCTAGCTCAAAACATGTAGCTGGCTCAATTTCATCAGGGGTATATCTTTGACAGTCACGCTGGGCCGCTCTGTAAGCAGATTTGGCCCAAAGAGCACACCTCATTCAGCCATGGCGTTCTCACTTCCAGAGATCGCACGCTTACTGGTTGCCGAAGTCGACGAAGAGTGGGGTCGAGCGACCGAAGGTGGGATTGGTTTCCGACATTGACCTATCCATAGGTTCAGTAGTTAGGCGGAACCAAAATCTAGCAAACACTGTCAGAATTACTTTATTTTGTGTGATCCCCACTATAACATTTATACATTTTGTTACTGGCAAATCTTCTGGCATTCTATCTCACATATTTTGGAGTATTCTATCTGGCATTCTATCTGGCATATCTTCTGGCATTCTACCTGGCATATCTTCTGGCATATCTTCTGGCATTCTATCTGGCAAACATTCTGGCACTTGATCTGGCATATCTTCTGACATGCTATCTGGCATATCTTCTGACATCCTATCTGGCATTCTATCTGGCAAATCTTCTGGCATTCTATCTGGCAAACATTCTGGCACTTGATCTGGCATACCTTCTGGCATTCTATCTGACATTCTATCTGGCATTTTATCTGACATTCTATCTGGCAAATCTTCTGCCATTCTATCTGGCATATCTTCTTGCATTTTATCTGCCATATCTTCGGGCATATTATCTGACATGCTATCTGGCATTTTATCTGGCATATCTGACATGCTATCTGGTATTATTTCTGGCATATCTTATGGCATTCTATCTGACATGCTATTTGTCTTTCTATCTGGCATATCTTCTGGCATTCTATCTGGCCGTTGAGGTCCAGCGGGGCTCACTGAGCTCGGAAGGTCCCAGGTTGAGGTCCAGCTGTGCTCACTGAGCTCGGAAGGTCGCAGATTCAGGTCCAGCGGTGCTCACCAGGCTTGGAAGTTCCCTGGTTGAGGTCGTGCAGTGCCCACTGAGCACGGAAGTTGGCGAAGAGATTGGCGAAGAGTCGGCATGGCGGAAGTGGACGTGGAAGTGGATGCAGAGATGGTAGAAGAGAAACTGGAGGAGGAGGACGAGGAGGAGGCGGAGGAGGAGGAGAAGGAGGAGGAGGAAGAAGAGGAGGAGGAAGAGGAGGAGGAGGAGAATAGCTCTGATAAAATTTAACAACCCTCACCTGGCAGGTGGGGAATTATGTTAAGGTACTTGTACATATTTGGAAGCATCTGGGCGACCACTGTTGAATTGGAGTTTGTGGTTGGCTTCCCGGGGAGGCCAACCTCGGGCGAACTTCATCCCGAACGACAAGAAGGTTTTCTCGGCGGTCGAGCTGTTCTCTGGCAAAGGTGCCATCACTAAGGCATTCAATGTTGAGAATCATTGCCTTTTGGAGATGAGAAGATCCAGGAGGTGCTGGCGACCCTGAGTACCCGTTGCAAGCCGCAGACCGACGATTGGTTGGAGGAGGCGGGACTTGACAGGAAAGTCTGTGAGGCGGAGCTCCTCTCCCGCCTCTTGGAGGAGAAGGAGGTTTGTGAATGGTCAAAAAAGTCAGCAAGCGCTGGCCCGAAAACAACAGGTGATGCAGCTGATGTAAGCAAAAAGCCCCAGGAACCATGGCCTGCTCACAAAGCTTGCGTTGATACCGGTGATGAGCCAGACCTCCCAGCAAACTGCAAGATTCGCCACTGCACACCGTTGACGGCTTCTCCGTATTGGCGTGCAGAGCTTCCTGCCGGTGAGACGCACTTGGGAAAGATGACGAAAAGCAAGTCATACATCCACAGTGAAGGTGTTGGCACAGCGAAGGTTGAGAGTGCAGCAGCCAGAAGTACAGTGGTTGCTTGGCTGTGGGAATGGCATGAAATGAAGCAGCGCAACGCAGCTAGCAAAGACGTGGGATCCAAAAAAAGACAAAGATCCTAGACAGGGGTGGTCTTTTCCAAAAACAGCATAACTCAACTTCTGAGTAATGGACCTTTCTATTGATTACCAACCTCAAATATAGTATCTTAAATCATTGCTCTTCAATGATACCTATCTCATTTAAAGTCTGGGATCTTTGAACTTTACGTATACTAATCAAGTGGCCTTAGCCGTCTCACCTGACCCATGGGGGAACATGGTTCAGCATTTGGAGTTCCAATTTGGCAGTTAGCGTTTGTGGGGCAAAACACTCATTTCTCAATTTGTAAAATACGTTTTTCATTTCCATTAGTTACCAAACAATTGTTATAAGAGATCTGTCCAAATCAAATTGAACCACTTCTTTTTCTTAAACTAATTCAGCCACGAAAGTCGTTGAGTGATAGCCCCATTTTTGCAGAGCAACTGATAATCCTGGTCATCAGAAGGCACTGGTGGTTACGGTAGTGATACAAATTCATAGGTACTCCATGACGATAGAATCAAAACAAGATTCATGCGTTTGGTTCACCCTAATAATTCTTCCAATTAGTTGATGGCAACTAACACAATTTTATGTAAATAATTGGTGCATACTGGTGCCATCTACGTTTGGCCGGGCCCGTGACACCATTTGGCCGTGCAGCATGGAAGCAGTGCTGCCTTCAAGCAAACAGTATCAACGACAAAAGAGGGGGAAAAAAACAAGTTTGACATCGAGCGATTTGATGCCATTGAAGCGTGCCATTTTTGCTGCCATTTGCCACTTTGTGGCTCTTTGTGCAGGAGATCGTTTGGCAGCATTTTGGAGCAGCTGCACTGGATGATGCTTGTGCAACCTTTGGCTGAGAATCCTCAGTACTATTACTGAGGAAACTTACTGAGGAAACTTGTACTATTTAATGGTGACTATAGTAGATCTATTCCAATTGGACCCTATTTCATGGATTCAACTGCTGCTTGTAACTGTCACATGGGTAAATCTCGCAATAGTCACATGTACGCTTGACGTGTTAGCTACCTTTGTTTCCGATTCCCTTCCATCAACATCTTTTTTTCCAAGGGCAACTATATAAATGGTGCTTATGATGGGAAAAATGCACGTGCAACAAGGCTTTCTGAGAAAAACCATTTGATCATGTTAAACATTTCATCACGTAACATTATTTGATCGTATCACCCATAGTGTATATCTACTCGACTTTTACTGGACGGGAAGTGTGAATTACTTATATTACTGTATATATTACCCATACTTTTACTCTATCGTATCACCCATAGTATATGAATCCACTTTGGAAGCCATATATGTATAGTCAGATGGGTTTTAGCACCTCTTCACCCATTTGGATGACTGGTTTGTTGGTATATCTAAGGATAGAGGATGGACGAGAAGATGGAATGAGTGAGGATCCAACTGAAAGCTAAAATTGAGGGAAGAAAAAAGAGTGGAACATGGCGGTGGGAAAGTTGATTATTTCCACTATCCCTCTAGTAGCAGGCACCAAATAATACCCAATAGATACATATATATATATATACATACCTATGCAATTCCAACCATATAATATACTAAATCTAGGGCAAACCCATTTTTTTTGAGGGAGACACGTACCTTTGAGCTGGAGCGGGAATGGGGAATCAAACATTAGAGGAGCGCGTGGCTGGCTCAGAAACAATACACATAATCACCAAACTTTCAAGTATATGTTTTGTTGAAATGGTGTCAATAACATTTTATGATGATATCAGGATTTATGGCTGCTGGAGATGTTCAGCGGTTGCTCCTCACTGACGTCATCATATAGTTCGAAGCTTGGACCTTGTAATAAGACTATATGATGGATAATTATCATAACAACTCTGATTAAATTGGTTCCCATCCCTCCTGCCCGTATCCATCGTGCCCAGGAGCCGCTGGACTGAAGGCGTCCACCACTTAGAATCCAGGTTCTCGGATGGTTGCCTGGTGCATGATAGCTGTCAAATTGGAATTCCTATCGATATCTCGATTCACCTGAAGGGCATGAGTAGTTTACCGAACAATCTAGCTAATAAATTTTAGTTGATACCAAGTTGATCCCAGGCAATGGTATGACTGGGAACATCGTCCAGACCATAACGACTTCTTGACCGACACAGGATTCCTTGTGGCCCTCAGGGACACATTACGCCTTAGAAAAGGCTCCCTGCTTTGGGGAGGTGTTCCATGTTCATCGTTACTTGACACTCACTATGTTTCGAGCAAACATGATTTCAAAGTATAAACATCAATTTGGGTGTTGAATGTTCAAGAATTGTGTTTTCTCTCACTAAGATGGGTGTGGATAAGTTCCGGTACCCATCAACGACTTCGAGCAATATTGGGTGACGACCGTGACCTGTTTGCGCACTGATTTGATAGTTGATTCGTTTCTGAACTAAAACCACATTGAACTTATGATTTTGATGTTACTTTCATCGATGAGGAAAGACCATGGTTCAATGTGGCAACTGTATCGCAACTCGCTTCGTACTATTGGCCTGCATTGCACTGGTTCTTGGAGCTGATTGGGCGGTGCCTTATTGGAACAAATAGTGGATACATTCAATGTGTTTTTTTGTTATGTCTTCTTGCGAGTTGTGGTCCCCGTGCCCATTGTCATAAGGTGGAGCAACCATCTTCATCTGTTCTGATCTATTGGCCCTACATGCAATTTCTAATGACTTGGTACGAAGCTGTGTTTCGCCGTTTGTTTCTTGGTGGAAGTATGGGGGAACAATAGGCAAAAACACCTTGTAGTTTAACACGTTGTTTTTGCTTATTGTTCCGATTATCCCCATTAAGTCTAGATACAATGAAAAAAACGATACAACCGGTGTTTTTTTCAAAATTGTAACCTTCACCTTCATACTAAGTTGGATGTCCACATTTGGACATTGGACAGCGAAGCCATCATACCTCCTGGGATCAGCGTTCCCTCCTCAGTAAGTTTCTTCGATTGAATATCCACATGATTCTAAACATTAGTGTGGGATACAGTAGAATCGTTTACATGCTGCAGGTATTGGATTGGTCATGTGGAGAGCCGGAGGTGTGCAGGCACGAAATCGGCCCCTGGTATGGTGAAGAAAACTATCTCCAAGAGTGGTCACAAAAGTGTGTCGGGATCTTATGTTCTTCTGGCCAATCACAGAATCTTTGAATCTGATAAAAGCTCCATATATGAATATTTACCTGAATTATTTGGGTCGCTTAGTGGGTAACAGTGGGTAAATATTTCATATATGGAGCATTGGCATATATATATATATATTAAACCCTTTCTATTTCCGTGGCCCAGGGCCGGAGGAAGTGCCTTGAAGAGTTCGCAGGCATATCCGAAAGACTTTGGAGACTTCATCGTTTCCAAGCACCTCGATCCATGGCAGCACTTTCTGACAATCACCTTTCCGGATCGCTGGAATTTTTAAAAACAATTCAATTCAGATTGGTGAAATGTTGATATTCCATCACAATTAGTATTGCACAGTTGCCAATCTGATCTTGATTGGAATATACCAAGATGCACCACCAAAATGACCCACATGATCCCAAATGTAGGTAAACATTCCATACATGGAGCATATATATGGGTATGAGTATGATGTTGAGATTTTGGAATTACACAAATGTTCAGATATAACATAATTTGATTATGTTTTCATTTCAAACCTCGGGGTGTCACAATTCAGGGGGCGATGGCTCGATCTCCTCAAGAGAAGAAACAGGCGTGGTTTACCTGGTTATTTGTGCTACTATGCTGAGTATTAGAATATATGTAAAATTATTAAGATATGACATACTTCGTTCATTAATAGGTTCGCCCCACAAATCACCTGGTTTTCTTACCAAGTTTCTTTGGCCTCCGGTCTCGCAGGATTTGGTCGACCTCAGCTCTGACACGGCCATCCCTGTGGCTCCATTTCACTGGGCCCATGCCAACTTGGGCTCACTTCGTAACCTTTTACTAAGGGCTGTGGAGGAAGGAAAATTTCACCCACAACCTAATTTACCACTATAAATGTGGAACTTGCACTTGAACCTTTGAAGTATCAACATGCATAACAAAAAATACAAATGAAAATTTAATTTGTTGTTTCAATCTTGTTGGGCATCAGTTGTGTTCCACATGAACTGTTCGGTTTCATCAGACCGCTCAATTCCAGTGCTGCAGAACCACAATTCAAAGAAAAACAGCGAGTGTTTGATCAAACAAGTTGAAGTTTTCAGAGAAAATGGACCGTGACGGGACCGTGACGGGACCGTGACCGTTAAAACCAAATGTAAGCTAAAATCAATTTAAAACTAGTAACGTTTGTCGAATGACCGTGACCGGACCGTAACGGGACCGTAACGGGACCGTAACGGGATCATAGACCATTTTGAAAAATAATATATATATATATGTCAATTGACTGCAGACATTTGAGCTTCAGTGGTTGGATCAGTAACCATGTCTCGTTGTGGTAGTGACGAGTTCGATGAAAATGACGAGGCGACTCTGTTGAAACCAACAATCTATAATATTAAGGGTAGTAAATTACCATGATATTTTCTTTTTTTACACAGTGGCCCCACTTTGCAGGCGGAGTTGCAAGCTGCTCTGAACGCAGCCGGTGTCCGGCGTGCCAAGTTTTCTGCAGCTCGTGCAACTGAACCTGAAGTGATGGGGCCGAAACGAAAGAAGAAAGAAGTTGCTAAGGATGAGGGATGTACACCTTGTTTGCACTTGCAATCAATATTTCCCAATGCTCCATGTATGGAATATTACCAAGATTTGCCACCAAATGGGTAAATATTCCAGCGCATATGGGATTTATATGTTCGATACTTTTCTGTCCAGGATGTGGTTGCACCAGAGAAAGTCACACCTGATGCGAAGCATCCAAGACCAGCTGATGGTGATGAAGAAATGAAAGATGAACCACCTCCCCGAAACCTTCTTGGTAGCCTAGACGATGCTGCAGGCAGGTCTATGTTATCCCATGTTGCCATGGCATAATATGATCCTATAATCCTACTATTCCCCAGTCCTAAGTCTTTTATTTTCAGGGGAAGACTGCGACACGATGGATCGCCCCGAAGCTACTGGCGTCACTACTGCAGACACCGTGGACAAGAGCCCCGAAGATTTCACCAAGATGTCAACTCTGAGTATGTCACCGGGGATGATGGACAATATAGCGGTAGGAAACTCAATTACAGTACTGTTGGCAGATCAAAATTTCAAAAGTTCTTGTTATGGATATCGAACCATACATCGTACTCAGGATACTCTGAAGGCTGCTTCCTCTTCAGAAGCTCTTGTTGCTACGCCTAGCCCTTTGGAACGGCCTGCAGCCCCGCCCACCATTGTTGCTGATGAGGCCTGTTTTTTTGGTGGGGGGTAGGTTGGTCAACTGTTATAGCATCATCTCCAGATGAATCAAATATATAATCTTGGCACTGATGTGGAAATCTCGATATATGGGCAGAACCGCAAATGTCTTGATGGTATATAGTGACCAAACCGCAAATGAGGCACGGCCAGTGGACATCGCGAAGGTGAAAGAGGCCCGTCCAGCAGTGTCGAAGAATACCTTGGATGAAATCTGATGACCTTTTGAATTGGATACTACACGTCATGAAAACTGCAAACCAAATCTGATGATAAGATTATGGGGTTACTAAGATGATTTCAGGGAATCGATTTCATTTGATCCAGGCTTAGGTGCATTGATTTTTCAATCAAAATTTGTCAAACAAGTAGCTTTGAAAACTGAAACTTGTACATATATGCCTGTATGGAACTTCAAAATTTTAGAAATATATCAGTTAATGTGTTGATTGTGCAGGATCTTGGTGGCGATGGAATCGTTGTGCCAGTGGCCACCCCAACACGTGCGATGCTGCAGTACTGGCAGCGATGGAGCTCAGTCAAACAATCTGCAGGACATGCATATGGAATATTTACCAAAATGACCCAAATGATCCCAAATAAATGTGGGTAAATATTCCATATGAAGCAATATATATGGGTCATCCCCGTAAATGTGTTTTTTTCTTTGGATTAAACATGTTTGCTCATCAGGAAAGTACCAAAAAACTCGAGCGGATCAATGTCGACTTCCACGTTGATGTACACTCCAGCGAGCAACCCTGTTTCTACAGCACCAGCACCAGGGTTGACCGACCCTGCACCCGAAGCAACTCATGTGGCATCAGCCCCAAGCTTTGCAGCAGCAGCATTGCCAGCCCCAGCCGAACCCGTTGCCGAAGCACCAGCTCCCAGCTCTGCACCACCAGCTCCCAGCTCTGCAGTGGCAACATCCCCTGCCCTGTCAGCATCAACTTTGCTTGATGATCCCAAAAGTCCTGATGTTATCGTGGTTGAATCAGTATCCCCTGCATTTGGTTCATACCACCCTGATAACCAGCTAGGATTAGAAGACACAGCACCAGCAGAACCAGCAGCCACACCGGTTGACACCCCTGCAGAAGCACCTGTGTCAGTTGAGCCAACCCCTGGAGCAACTCCGAAAGCACCCGAGACATCAGCGGGCACACCCACCGCGACCCCCAGTGACGTGGCAGCTGCACTGAAACGGGCAACAACAGTGGATTTGTTACCACCCACTGCCCCACCAGGCAGTGTTGCAAGCGGGGTGCCAAGCGAGGTGCCAAGCACGGTGCCAGCGGGCAGTGGCGTCGTGCCAGAGACGACGAAGGACCCAGTGAAATTGCTAAAATACCTCAGGGGTTCTGAACATGTGGAAGTCTATGTAATTTTCATTTAATAACCATGTTCATTTGGTTGAGGACATACCACCAAATGGATCTGCAGCAGCAATTGCCTATAGACGAAGACGAGCTTGGAAAGCCAGATTCCATAGAACTGGTACAAGTAACTTGTTTGCAATGCTCTTGTATTTAACCTGAGTTGATTTAAATGATGATTCTGATCCAATATGCTTCAAGGCCCAAACACGCCGGATGTGGTAAAGGAGAAGTTCAAGGAGGTGCAAGCTAGCGCATCGCTTAGTTTGCATAGATGTTCATCACCTTTAGCCCTCTGACTTCGTACATTTGGATTCAAAAATCTGTTTGAGTCATTCCAAGTAAAATCAATCCCTCATACCCGTCTCATCTTGAGGCAAAAGCAATTTGGAGTGGGACAAACTGTTTGATCAATGGGTCGCTTGCGGTGAAAACTGGTGGAAGTCAGAACTGTTTATGGAATCCAAATCCACGAAAGAAGTTGCCCGAATGGGAAAATGGAAGACCATGTCCCGGGCAGAGTCTTGGCTAATGATTCCCATGTTTCCATACTATAGAATTATATTATCGAGTTGAATATATTTTGTTTTACCTGTATGTGACTACATAGGTTTTACAAACAGCCCAGGACCTCCTCGAAAAGTACCACCATGATGCTACGCTTGTGGATGACCTAATCAGTCGGAAAACGGACGACAAACTCTTTGAGAGCAACCCTGATTTCCCCAAGAGAGAGGACCAGGTTCCTGATTTCAATTTATTATCACTGATTATATATAACCTGCTCATATCTTCCCCTTGATTTGCAGGACCTCCGAGTCTACTGGTGCTGGGATTCCAGCATCGAGACCGACCGAGATGCCCGGTTGAATTCCATTGGCACCAGATCTTCTGGCGCATTGGATTGCTCCACAGCCTCAAGTTTGCAGCCGGGAGCCACAATGGAGGCATTTCAATTCATAAATATGGGTAGTTCTCAAAATGGAGGATGCTCGAAAATACCTAGTTTTATCTAGTTTTCAATATTTTCGAGCATCATCCATTTTGAAAAATACCCATAGCATATTGTTAGCTGCATTATTTTCTTAAGATATGAAACACCATCCAGAGTTTGTTTACATAGGGCTGTCAAAGACCGATGCACAACTGATCACAAGTTTTCTGTTTTATCCTATGGTATCTTCTTTTAAGTGAGTTTAGTTGTGATAGTGGTTCAGGTCTGCTCCCTTGGCAGCATCAATGACTACTGGATCTACTGGATTCTTGCGTTCAGCTGGAGGAGGGACCCCTGCTGCACCAGCCAAGCCAGCCAAGCCCGAACCAAAACCAAAATCGAGTAAGCCACCGAAAGCAAAGACGGCCTCACAAGAGGCAACAAAGGCGCATTTGTACTTTGAACTGTATGCTGTGTTTTCTTCCCTAAAGGCTTAAAGGTATATTTCCAGAAACGCATTCAGGTGATGAAGGATGTGTCCAGCGCCATCCTAGAGTGCAAGAGTTGGAAGAACAAGTTGGAAGCTGCTGGTGCGTTTCATCCTCAAACACAATCTTAACAAACCCAGATGCTCCATGTATGGAATAGTTAACCTTTTACCCCCAAAACCACCCACATGTACCTAGGTAAGTATTCCATACATGGAGCATCTGGAATATATGTAAACATAATATGGTCAGTCCTGTACTGCTACCCGGCTTAGGCCAGCGAACATGATTCAAGCCCTGGTGAACGATTGCAATTCGCATTTGTCTAGCATGGAGATCAGTCGACAGACCCTTGAAGGTGCTGTTGCACAAGGGGAAAATGATGATGAACTTCGTGCAAAGAGTGCTGAACTTGCCAAACACTTGGCAGATTACAAAAATGCAGCAAAGCACTGCAGAAAGCACTGTGCCCCCCCAAAGCAGCCAAAGAGCAAGGCTGCTCCAGCCGCGGGGGCAACATCTTGAGCTGCCTCGTTTTGACAGTTGGAACGCTGTTCTTAGAGCTAAGGGAGCCATGGCCGGCCATGGCAAAACTGCGAAATTTCAACCAGTGTTAATGGACGAACATTTACAATTTGATCTTCAGCTGTTAACCTTTCTAGAAGATTGTCAGCCGGCCATGCGACGGCTCGGAGAACTTTTGGGATTTTGTGAACCTCATGCTGTAGCCCTAGAAGCCCAACAATGTATATACACAAATTGCAACATCAAATTTTTTAAAAAAACTAAACTTTGATAAACCCATCCAACTTTGAAGGGCCTGGCTACTAATTGGGGAAATTGGACCATGACTGATGGATCTCGAGGTACGCAGCTCGATGCCCAAATTCCAGGTGAAAAAATCACATCCGATTCATCTTGCAGAGTGGACCAGTTTGACCTTGAATTTCAACATTTTTCAGCACTCCAGTTTACAAAGCAGCCTACAAACCTGTAAGCCATTCCCCTAAAGTTCCTTCAAGACCAAGTGTCCTGCGCAGGTGCCTCTTCGTCAACAGCAGCTACTGAGTTCGAGAACACGGCCTATGCGGACCATTTGCTGTGCCAGCTAGGCAAGGGAGCTGAAAGTTGCGCTGGGCTACAAGCGGCAGCAGCCGCCGTTGTGGTAGAGAGTTCTGGACATTGTTCCTATTTAACCAAACGACTAGCGCTGATCGGTAGCGCGGGTAAGCATGCAAAAAACTGCGAACGGGATTTGTTCCGTTTATTGAATTTACCGATTGTAACTTGATACTTAATATGCTTTAGTTTTCTTTTTTAATGGTTGTATGATTTTTGAGGTAAATGAATATTCCTTAATATTTGTGCTGGCTACCTATTTCCATATCATCTCATGGTGTTGCCAAGGACCCCTACTTTGTGACTATTCCCATCAAGGACAAGTCCAAACCTAAAGGGCACAGAACAACACTGCGATGTCCTGTATTATTGCCGCATGAGATTTTACATCACATGGCGCACACTGGCCAAGCGATAGTTTCGAAGGAGGAGATTGTAGAGTACTGGAATCACTGGAATCGATACAAGCCGCGACACTTATGTTCTGATTCCAAAAACCATACACCGCTTGGTATTGCAGGGGACGATGCAAAGTACACTCTCGCAGGAAGTAAGGTGATTATTATATGCCTCAGCAACATACTTTGGGACAGACGATGTCGATCGAACCAAAAGAGTGATCTCAATGTGGATTGTCTTTGGGTTATGTTGGCAGGATTGTGGTATTTTTGTTTGATGGCAGACCCCTAATTAGTCAATTCAATTCAACAATGCTTCATGTATGAAATATTTACCAAGAATTATACCACCCAAAATGACCCAAATGATCCCATTGAATGAGTAACTCTCTGCTGTCTAGCGGCTGAGGCGATATGCAGGTAAACCGACGGTTCCTTTTGGCTGCGTTGAGGGTGGAGGTTTCACTTGGCGTGAAATCTTTGGACCGAATCTATCGAGTCATTGCATGGTCTTTGAATGTACCAGGTCCCAAAATAGACTTTTTATTGCGGTTGGGTTTTGAACCCTCAAAGTCTTCAAGGAATATGTTCTTGTTCCTATGTCATGACACCCCAAGGTTGCCTATGCAGGGATTTTTCCATCACATGATTGGGAAGGCAATGAGCTCCCACTCGCCCGGCGAGCTTTAGCTGGAAAACCGATTGCCGGAGGACCCTATGCCCTAACCCAAATTAGGCCAGAATGTTCCGAAACCAATGTTGAATTTACGATACCAATACCATTAGTTTCTGTACTGTTTGTTTAAAAATCCCTGATCAGGGGAGACTGGAAGTGGCACAAAGAGGTTTACGAAATGAGACACTATTGGAAGTTCAACAAGGGAATCTGTTTCAAGTGCCGAGCTACCCGATGTGCAGGTCCATATCAGTACCTTGGCCACCGTGCAATTCTTTTTCAGATTACCCATCAATGGTTATGATATTATGTTTTAATCATCATTTCCAGAAACCAAGGTTTTGTCAACCTGATGTGTTTGAATCGACACCTCGGCTGTCTACACCAGATTTGTTCAACTCGGCACTGTTGCTTGCATTTTCTCTATCTGGTACCAATTTTTGTTTTGTTCATGATTATGGTCACCGCACAAAGTGTTGTTCAGAACACATCCCAATATTTTACCCACATTTGGGATCATTTGGATCATTTTGTGGGTAAATCATCTTAATGGTGAATATTCCATATATGGAGCATTGGGGCATTTGTTGCTTTGAATGGGGTAAAGGAAACAGTACATCAACCCGTTATGCTTCGTGGCGGGATTTCAAGTGACGATGGTGCGGTATTGTCTGATGCACACGTTGCATCTAGGGATCCTCCAGTGGATTAACGCTGGTGCAGTGCTGACACTCATGCATCACAATTTTTGTGGTAACATGGGAACGCTTCAGCATGTTTTCTTGAAACCATTTTTTTGGGGAAGGGGTGGCAAATGTAGTTTGGTTAAATTTGAATTTGAATAGTGAAATCCAGAAAAATATTTAAAACCATCTGAGTGAACATAGTTTCCAGGACCTAGTGTATCGCAAGACAATTTCATGCACATTATCAATCAACGATTTCTGCGGTGGTGCAATCTACATGGAATCAATCCGGGCCAAACATTCATTGGGAAGGGCCACTTGCATTTAGAGCCTTGGGCAGAGCTGAGACTGAAAGCTTATGCTGGAAGAGCCTTCACTTCCTTCATGGCAGTTTGCTTACAATCATTACATGGTCATGTGGCTACCGATGATGACCTGGCTCTCATTACCGTAGCTTGTGGGCAAATATCAAACTGGATGCTGGCACTTGAGCATGCCCCGCTTGACTTGACTGATGAAATGGCAACATCCCTTTACGATGATGGAATGCAGCTCCTAAGTTTGACAAGAAACACTTTTGTTCCATACATTTTTGTTTTTAGTGCGATATAACCAGGATTTCATCTGATGGGATTTTTCGAACACTAAGGTTCGTCCGCACCTACCGGCTGCTGTCTCTCCACCACGTGCAGTTGAGCAGCCAACGGTATCCGTGGAAACCAAAAGTCCATGCATCATGGCACAACTCAAGCGAAAGTTCTTTGCTAACTATTCATTAGTGATTCTTCCATAAGTCATGGCTGTGCAAGCTTTCTCTGAGGCATACATGGAGATACTGCTGGAACAAAAAATGTTCCGGGAGAGTGCTCGAATCTGATCTGGATTTGATGTATTTTTCAATTTACCCAAAATGGTGGGTTGTCTTATCCTTTAGTGTTAGCAAGCGACCCTTTGGATATCAAGGATTTTGTTCAACCATATTTAGATTTAGCATCAAACCATACCAGCATTACTTTTTCCTCAATTTGTCTTCACCAGTAAGGAGGAAATCATTGTTACTGCGATGAAGATTTCATGGGCCAATGCAAAAAGTTAGCACGTCGGGTCCATAGGACCACCCTTGAGCTGAGAATGGTTCTCCGCTGGCTCTTGCGAATCAGACATTCAAACTTGGATGCGTACATCAACTCCGCATAAAGGAAAAAAAAAGGAATGGCTGGATGATCTGGATATATGGAGGCAAGTGTCGATTTTAACGGAACATTGGATGTAGCCAGATTATGGTAACATTTGAGATAACATGCTATATGATACCATATTTTGATAACATTTCCAAATGTATGTTGTATTTGCTCTCGTTGGAGCCTTTGGGAATTAGACGAGTTACAACATGTATATAAACCTTCTATAACATGTCTATAACCTGCTTGCAAGTATGTAAAGTGTCATAACATTTGATAAGTAATTTGTAAGTTTAGCTAGCCGGCTACGAGAAGTTGTAAATGTTTAGGTAAAATATAAATGGTTAATGAACTTATCGTAAGTATCTTAACTGCATGTTTTCTTTTTATAACTATGTTAACAGACTTAACATAAGTATGTAGGAAAAGTTATCATAAGTTATCTGAAAGTTAACAAAAGTTATAAAAAGCTATAAAAGGTTATAAAAAGTTACAAAAAGCTGGCTATATTTCAGACAAAAATATCTATAGTTCAGATAAGAATGGCTATAGTTCAGACATAAATAGCTATAGTTCAGATAAAAATGGCTATAGTTCAGATAAAAATGGCTATAGTTCAGACAAAAATAGCTATAGTTCAGACAAAACTAGCTATAGTTCAGAATAGAAGTTGCTATAGTTCAGACAAAACTAGCTATAGTTCAGACAAAAATAGCTATAGTTCAGACAAAAATAGCTATAGTTCAGATAAAAATGGCTATAGTTCAGAAAAAAATGGCTATAGTTCAGACAAAAATATCTATAGTTCAGAAAAAAATTGCTATAGTTCAGACAAAACTAGCTATAGTTCAGAATAAAAGTCGCTATAGTTCAGACAAAACTAGCTATAGTTCAGACAAAACTAGCTATAGTTCAGACAAAAATAGCTATAGTTCAGATTAAAATGGCTATAGTTCAGATAAAAATGGCTATAGTTCAGAAAAAAATGGCTATAGTTCAGACAAAACTAGCTATAGTTCAGAATAAAAGTCGCTATAGTTCAGACAAAACTAGCTATAGTTCAAATAAAAATGGCTATAGTTCAGACAAAAATAGCTATAGTTCAGATAAAAATGGCTATAGTTCAGATAAAAATGGCTATAGTTCAGATCAAAATGGCTATAGTTCAGATAAAAATAGCTACAAAAGGATAAAAATAAAAGACTTTCAACAGTATAAAAATATACAAAAAAGTTACAAAAAGTTATGAAAAGTTATCAAAAGTTAGCAGAAGTTATAAAAAGTTAGCAGAAGTTATAAAAAGTTAAGACAAAACTTACAAATAAGTTATTAAAGTTAACATAACTTCCTTTTATCTTTTTGATAAGTCATGTTAACTTCCAACATAAATCCTTTAACTTCTGTATATCTAGGCTAAGTCTGTAAAGTCTTATAACTTTAAGCGTACAGTCTTCGTAGTCGTAGTCGTAGTCGTAGTCGTACTTAGATGGGCTGGGGTGTTGCTAACAGGTTAACAAAATTAACATAATTAGCTAACA